TGTCCAAACTTAGCTAAGACAAGTTATCAGGTTCTGTGGATGTAAGTGAAACTTGTAAATTTATATTTAATTAACATTATATATAAATACAGTGCAAAATCTAAAGTTGGATTTCTCTTTATTTGGATGAACAACAGTAGATACTTATCTTTTTTTCCTTTCTCCCAGATATCATACATTGTTCCAATTAAATAAAGTTATTATGCCTCACCTTGGCATTAAAGCAGATAAGGCCACCTACATGGTAACAGAGGAAGCAATTGAAAACATACTAGCAGCTCTTCATTGCCTACCCATACCTTGTGAAGTGCTCCCTAGCTGATGTGCAAAAGAACATCACAGCTCTCTTTATTCTCTTCCCCCTCATCAGCTTTAAAGGTTTTTATTCTTACGTTTTGCTCATTGAGAGAAACCTGTTCCAAGTGGGAATGAAAAGCCCTGGCTTGGTCTGTCACATGTCATTAAAAAACAGCTTTTACATTTTAATTTCCTCACAATTGCGCTTCTTGGTAGGTTACATAGTCCTAAAGAAAATGTCATTTTAGACTACATAATTCACTTTGTTCCCATTCTATTAGCTATCAAAACCAACAAAGTAAGCTTTGTGGCTAGAAATATTACTAACTTTCCATGTGGAAGTCTTCATTTAAACTAGCTCCTGAGACACAAAATGCTGAGGTAAAAGTCAGCTTTCAGAAATGTACTCAGAATCTATTTAAAGGAGACTGCATTTTGGAAGACATTTTAGATAACTAGCACTAAGGAAAATTAGTCTTGAAGATGAACATGCTACCATGTTTGTAATACTAAATTTATGTGCAGTCTACCTCCAGATTTTCAGCTTTCTACAAATATTTGGACATACACCAGGAGCCCTCTAAGCTTCTAGCACCATTCTGTAAATTAGTGGGAACACAAAACACATACAGCATTAAAATGAAAATCTATGTTTTGTATCACTGCTTCTGGACGTTCACAAGAATAACTATATTTGAAACAAGATACAACAGGGAGCTTCACTACTGTTACTGCAATTACTATAATAGAAAAAGTCAAAATCCCACAGCTTATCCTCTATTAGAAATAGCACCTGTATTACAATTAATAATTCAAATCCCACAGGAAAAAGTACTCTTTCAACAGAAGAATGCTTATCCACCTCACTAAAGCTTTGTAAGAAACAGTCTGCTGTCCTCTCAGTTGTGTTTATGTACTCTCTGTTGTCTTAATACAAGTCCAAAAGACAAGTAAACCAGTACACAACTTGTACACAAGTGACAGTGCTATGCATTTTATTATATAGTATGACTTTACGAATAGTATAATTTATCAGTAAAATTGATAGCAAAGTTGCCATTAAGTGCAGCTAAGATTTTGCCTGTAGTCTCACACATCTTTACAGAGCCATTTCCACTTCCTTTTACTCGCTGAAGATAGCCACTATTTGGAATTCCACAGACAGAAAATCATCACTTGTGATGCGGAGAAAACCCCAGGAACAAACTCACCAACAAAGTTTTCAAGTTGACAAGGAGGTGTACTTTATTGTGGCGCAGGGAGACATGTGATGGTGGTCTTTGAGGGTCGTTTACTTCTCCCAACAGTCTTCATATCTCTGGCAGTCTTTGAAACACCAACTTAATTAACATTACAGACATAGCAATCATCCTGTCCTTCTACTTATCAGTTAGTTTGCCTGTGCCCATCCTGGACATCTGCTAGTCCCAGATACTCCCCATTCCCAGGTCCTGTTTTTCTATTCTGTTTTTCTTATACTTTTGATACTAAGGTCCTAAGGACCTAAAACTATATCAACTACCTTCAAGCACCTCAGTTATTTTCTATTGCAATGCGATCAAACTTAACATTACTTAGAACTGATTACATTTTGTGCTTTTGTGCCTCCTTGTCTCACTTGAAGGACAACTTTCCCGAATGTTCTCCGGAAGCAACTACCTCTCTTGTCAAACTACATTGTGTTCTGGTTTTGGCTGGAGTAGGGTTAGTTTTCTTCCTAGTAAGGCTATGTGGTACTTAGCTTTCTGCTGCAGTTAAATTGCAACACACTGCAAAAATTGGCCCTTTGTTTCCTGCCTTTCCTTGATCTATGAATATTTATTAAATAGTATCAAATTAACAGTTAAGGAAACCTTCCTGTGCTGTTAGATGCTGTTGCCCATCTCCTGTTAGATGCTGTTGCCCATCTCTGCTATTCTACTTAGACTGTGCTTGGAAAACACAATAAATGCAATTACTAAAAATGGATCAAAAAATGCAGTGGCCACATGAGCAAAGATACCATCAATTACAGTTCACTCCATTAATTCAGATTTGTATTAATGTTTTAAACATTTTGATGAGTGAAGAGTACGTGATCTGGAATAAAATGATGCTGAAGTATTCTAATGGGAAAGCTGACTTGCCTATGGCAAATAGATGGGTTAGTGATAATATTTCATGATGGTTTAGAGCCAGTGAAAAAAAATGGATCACTTGGGTTAGCCTTGCCTGAAACATCAAACCCATGAATGCAGATCTCCTGCCTCTACTTTTTTTGTCCTATGAATCCTGATCACAGCAACCTGGTCTAGTGGAAAGTGTCCATGGCAGGGGGGTTGGAACTGGATGAGCTTTAAGGTCTCTTCAAACCCAGACCAGTGTGTGATTCTGTATAATATTGCTTTATGACACATAGCATAGACATGGGAAATGCATGTCCTTCTCCAGTTTCATGTTTCAGCTAGTCTATACATTCCACCTGGGAAATGTACACATTATATTATGCAAAAGTCTTTTGGGCTAATACAATACTTCAAAGGTTCTAAGAAACAATCCTAAGAAACAATTATTATGCAAGCGACTTATTAACACTGCAGGCATCTGTTTGCCCTGCAGTATCACATGGACAACAACAGCAATGTTTAATTATGGGAATGAAGATCACAGGCTGTGCATCACTTCTTTCCTCACACCCACAGGCATGTATTTCAGAGAACTCTGTCACAAAACTGGTATAATAGATCCCCTTCTATAACAGAAAATGAGCACTGCAACACTATGTAATTCAGTTTCACATACTACATGGAGGTCTGTAAGGTACTCTACAAATTAAATCTACTTAGAACATGATAGTGCACTGGTGTAACATTCATCTTGGTTTACCTTCATCACACTTGGCTTGCAGTAACCGTGATTTGGTTGCTGCCCACATTGTGATATTCTGGGCCTCAGTAATTTGAATAGCTCTTCAATCACTCCTACTATAAATAGTTCCCTGACCTCTTCTGTCACACATGTTGCTATACAGATACATTACTTACAGAGATATATCAGCTGAACCATAATGTGAAAATTAAACGTTCAAGTTACACAAAAATACTTCGAAACCATCTGTTACTCTCCACATACAACCACATAACACATCCATTTTCTTGCCATTTCATATGTATGTCCTGAATTTTTGCTTACAAAAAGAGTAACATTCCTTTGACTATTATTTTTTTACCTCCTCTAAGTCCTCATTCATTTTGTTCATTCAAATTTGTTGATTTGATATGCAGAGAGAAAAATGACCATGTTGTCCTTCCAAAGTTGGGAGGTTTTTTTAACCTTCACTACTAAAATATGGTAGACGTTCTTCCTTGCTTCATGGCAAGAATGACTTGGGTCTTTGAGAGGGCTTTACAATGGTCCCAGGTACTATAACATGAGCAGTAAATTAAAGGATTACCCATTATGTCTTATCAGCAAACTTGGAATCAGTTGATGGGAATGGGTTTGTCCGAGGTTTTTTAAAGGGGAAAATTCAAGTATACCTACCTAAGAATCCAGTGAACATGCTGTGATTTGATCTTGCTAGGTAATGAATTTTTGCTTTACTTGTCTGAACTTCAAATCCATGTAAGCAAATGATACTCAAAAATCATCACCAGGATAATTAGAACCATTTATGCTTTGGTATAATTATCACAACATTTTATTATGCTTCATCTTTCCATTAGTCATTTTATAGAGGATTTGGTGTTAAACTTGACTGCCTTGATGTTGAGCATATCAAAATGTGTTTGATAGAATTCAAGAAGGCACGATTTTGTAATCCGTTCTTTTCCAAAGCAGTACAGGAGTCAGGAGAGACAGCAGCACATAAGGGCTGGTTATTATATGAAGGAAAAGACCTTCATGTGTGCAATGAAATCTGTCACTGCTGTCTGCCCATCAAAGCCAACTGATTCTTCGTGCCACATGAACTCACATGCAAATAATGTCGTGACCAACAGAGACCATACAATAGCTGGTATTCAGAGATAGTATGCAAAGAACCAGCATGCTTGATGTTAATGCAAAATCCCTGATTATTCTGATATCATTAGGAGCTTAGAAACACAAAACATATAGCACCTATCAAGACAGACTTAGAGAGTTTGGCTTGTTGAGCCTGGAGGAGGCTCAGAGATCTCAGAGCAGATTCCAAACAAGAAATCTGGAGAGGAGCTTTTAACAAGGGCAGGTGGGGACAGGACAAGAGGAAATGGCTTTAAACTGACAGAGGGGAGGTTTAGATGAGACCTGAGGTAGAAGTTCTTCCCTGTGAGGGTGGTGAGGCCCTGGCACAGATTGCCCAGAGAAGCTGTGGCTGCCCCATCCCTGGCAGTGTTCAAAGCTGGAAGGCTACCCCATGCCCTCCTGTGTCGGACTGAGCCCTGTGGTCCACAGCCCAGCTCCTCCAGTCCCATGAGCAGGGTCACCGGGACAGCTGCAAACACCTTAAGGAAGGGCTCAACCCGCCCTAAGGCTGGGAAAGCAGCCACTACTCCAGGCTCTGATGGCTAGCAAAATGGGGGAGAACGGGGCCGCTGCCCTTGTAGTGAGCTTGGAGTGTTAGAAGCCCACATGTGCTTGCATAATGTCCTGCTTAAGCTTGTTAGTTATTTAGCGCAGTGCTGTTCCTACGTACATCACAGCCTGCTCTGAGGTCTGGCACTGTGCTTCATTTTATTGTACTTCATTTTACTGTGCCTTTTAAAATTCCTATCCAACTCCACTGCATGTACCCAAGCTTCCGCCTCCAACTTCACCACACTTCCTCTGCTGCCACTTTGTTTGTGAACATTGCTGGCCCTGCTGTATGCGTGACCACTGTGCCCAAAAGGATGGTGAGAGAACGGTATGAAATCTGAAAACAAGAGTATCATCTTTCTTACTGTAACCCAGGTCTGGTTGTGGATCAGGATGCTTTGGTGGAAGCCCTTCAGAAAAAAGTTATTAAGGCAGCCGCTTTGGATGTGACGTATCCTGAACCCTTGCCAAGGTAGGAGATGTATTTAGGTGAAGTATAAATGAGTGTATGTATGTGGTTTTGGTTCAAAGTAAGTACAAGTTTGTGAGCGTGTGAGAAGTTACACAATCTTGTTAGCAGGAGTACATGATGGACGTGCACTGGTCCTACCAAAACAATGTCCCCAGTCCTTCCATCCTAGCCAAGCAAATTTCACACTGACTCATTTGGAGGATTTGTTGCATAAAAAACCCACAAGCAAGGCAGCAGTTTGAACTCCACTAAGTATGCTTTGGTCATGCAATTATTTTTTATTCTTCGTTATTATTTTAAATACTTCCCTGGCCCCCTCAAGGTGATGAAATAACAGATGAATGCTCTGTGCGTGACTGGCTGAGTACTTATTTTCCTTTTCCAGGAATCACCCCTTGTTAAAGCTGAAGAATATTATAATAACTCCTCACATTGGAAGCGCCACCAAAAAGACACGCCGCCTAATGATGGAAGACATGACAGAAAGCATACAAGCAGGTCTTATAGGTCTTCCTATCCCTAATGAAGTATTACTGTAAAGCGGCCTCCATTTAATGTGTCATTAGTGTTTGTCCTGGTGTGATGAAACAGTAATTTGATCACTCTTCATGCAATTATGCCTGGTGTGTATATACAGATCAAATATAATCATTCTGGTTTCAGCTGGGTAGAGTTAATTTCCTTCCTAGTAGCTGGTGCAGTGCTGTGTTCTAGCTTTAGTCTGAGAACAATGCTGATAACACACCGATGTTTTAGTTGTTGCTCAGTAGCACACACTTACTCCGATCACGATTTTTCAGTCTCTCACGCTCTGCCAGTGCGGAGGGGCACAAGAAGCTGGGAGGGAGCAGAGACAAGACACGTGACCCAAACTAACCAAAGGGGTATTCCATATCACAGCACGTCATTCCCAGTATATAAACTGGGGGGTGTCACCTGGAAGGGGCTGAAGACTGCTCAGGTTGGGCTGAATATCAGTTGGCAGTTGGTGAGCAATTGCATTGTGCCTCACTGCTGTTTACTGGGTTTTTTTCTTTCCCCTTCTAGTTTTGTCTTTTCTCCCCTTGTTATTTTCCTTATCATTATTAGTAGTACTATTCTATTGTACTTTAGTTATTAAACTGTTCTTATCTCAACCTGCATGTGGGTTTCACATTCTCAGTTCTCCTCTCCATCCTGCCTGGATGGGGAAGAAAGAGGGGGTGTGAGCGAGCGGCTGCGGCTGCATGGTAGTGAGACACCTGCTGGGTTTAAAACATGACATTAGTGAATGGCTTTGATTTATTTAAATTACCAAAAGCCATTCTGTGCGGAAAACCACAGTATTTTGTCATGAACTTCAATGAAAAACTCAAGTCTAGAGTCTTACACTGGTGTAATTTATTTTGTAACACATTTAATTATTTTCGCTCACATCCTCTTTAAAATGCCCATCAACGTTACAGCTAATTGAAGGATGGTTAAATCGTATTCTAGTGTCACCGACGAAGTACATGGCACAGCAATCTGTGTGGGGCTGGTGGACCAGCTCATCCTGATGCTACGGCAGCAGTGTTTGCCCTTGGGGAGCAGTTTGCAAGGCCTTGCTGGGGAAACGCAGCAACCAGCCTTAGTTCCACTTCCTAGACATCTCACCCACCTTAGTAACAGGGCCTGGCTATGTGTACGCATGAGCCTCCCCGCAGCTCGGCTCCTCTCTTCCCCCGCGGGACGAGCAGAGCTACTCGCAGCCGCCCACCGGCTCCCGCTGCCGTGTCGCTGCAGGCCCGGGCCGCGGCGCCGCGAGGGGGAGCCGGCGCCGCCGGAGCAGCCGCCACGGGGAGCTCTGCAGCGCCGAGTCAGGTCGGGCCGGCGGGGTTTGCAGCGGGGTGGGCTGCTGGGCCTGCCCTGCCTCCGCTGGTGCGGGCAGGCGGTGCTGCCGGTGTTGCTGCGGCCTGGCAAGCGAGCACCGGGCCGGAGGTGCCGGTGTCTGGATACTGGGAAGCTCTTCCCTGTGAGGGTGGTGAGGCCCTGGCACAGGTTGCCCAGAGAAGCTGCAGCTGCCCCATCCCTGGCAGTGTTCAAGGCCAGGTTGGACGGGGCTTGGAGCAACCTGGTCTGGTGGAAGGCGTCCCTGCCCGTGGCAGGGGGTTGGAGCTGGATGGGCTTTAAGGTCCCTTCCAACCCAAAGCTACTTTGTGATTCTTCAACTTTCCCCCCCCCCCCATCATCTCCTTTCCTTGCCCTTCACCCCAACTGCCGGCCCACGGAAGCAAGTTGGTGGGCGGCCGCAGGCACCGGACCGGCACCGCGGAGCGCCAGCGGCCGGCCAGGCAGCCCTGGCTTGGGCGGCCCCACTCCGCCCTCGCCCTCCTACCGTCCGGCCCCGCTGTTGGGCGCGGCGGCGGCGAGCGGAGCCGGCGCTGGTCGGTGTTGTGTGCTGCCCGGGGCACCGGTTCTCCTCCGCGTCTCGGCCCACGCCGCAGCCCCTCGACGGGAGGCCGTCAGCACCTTCGGTAGGACCGGGGTTGCGGGGCTCGGGTGTCTCCCGGGGTCTCGGAGCCGCGCTCGAATTGGCTGGGAGCGGGACGGGGACAGTATCATGATTTCTCCCGTTCCCTCCTTTGCCGTGCCGAGCCCTGCTGCCCACAGCCCAAGTCCTCCAGTCCCATGAGCAGGGTGACCGGGACAACTGCAGGCGCCTTAAGGAAGGGCTCAGCCCGCCCTAAGGCTGGGAAAGCAGCCGCTACTCCGCGCTCCGGCGGCTGGCGAAATAGGGGAGGACGGGGGCTCTGCCCCCGTCAAGCAATGGGTGGGCAGCAGCGGCGCCTTGCTACAGCTGCCCTGGGGCTGCGCATCCCGGCGTGCTCAGCCGGGGAGAAAGGGCTGCCCATTGGTGTCTGCCCGGTATGCGATAGCCTGTTCAGCACCACAGATGCTGTGGCTCTGAGTGGCCAAAGAGGCAGCGTGGGGGTCTCTTGTCTTTAACCTGAGATAATAGAGTTGGTTCTTTCCAGAGACAACAGAGTGAAGAGTTGTCAGGACACCGAAGGAGACTGAGGCAAAACAAAGGGTAAACTTATGTTCAGGAAGTTAATTGATACCTCCAAAGTCCATAGCTCAAAAATTATAGCTCTGTTCTATTAAACAAGACTTTTTCCTGAGAATGCTTATTAATTAATATGGTTGCATGGGTGGCAATCAAAGGTAGAACTTGGGGGCTAAAAGATACTCTCCCACTCACATGGTCACATTCTTAAATTACCAAGACTTCAACCTTTAAATACTGAATAGTGATCAGGATAGCATCTGGTAGCTCTTTAAGTGTTAGCATAGCTGGTGTGCCAGAAACAATTAACAAGATAGTATAAAAATTGAACATCCTTCTGAATAACACAGGAAGAATGCAATAAGAGTTGAGCATGTGAGTATCTTTAGCCAACTCTGTCATCAAGTGGGAAAACAGCACATAATGAAGCCGATCAACTCCTGTTTCTTCAAAGAAGGAACAATGGGTCTCCTAAGGATATGTCTTTTTGGTCTCTCCTTGCTTTAGTAGGCCATGGAGGGTCAGGAACTGCCTTACGTGCTCATTGACTGTATAGGAGGGAAGCATGGAGTATATGAAGACCACGTTGAATTTCTGGAGAAACATTTTCATCTCATCAGCATGAAAGAATATCTTGAAAACAAGAAATCTCTCAGTGAAAAGATCAGAGCTATTTATATGTGGTATCACAAACCAGTTATTAATGAAGAGCTGCTCCAGAGCTTGCCTAACTTGAAGATAGTTGCAAGCTCTGGAGTGGGAATAGATCACTTGAACCTGCACCTCCTATCCAGCTATGGTGTGAAGGTGGCCAACACTCCATTTGCAGTTTCCACTGACACTGCAGACTTTGGGATGGCTTTGATGCTGGCATCTTCCAGGAGACTTGTGGAAGGTAATAACTGAAATGGTTTTAGTCTTTTTCGAGAAAAGGTGACCTTTCAAAACAAGCAGTTAGCAAGCCTGTGCTGATGCAAAGGTAAGTTTAAAAGGAGAAATAAAGGAAAATAGAGGGATGAGGAAAAAGTTAAGACAAGCCTGTCATGTTGACAATAACTTGCATGCATTGTGTACCATTTCCAAACAGATATATCAGCAAGGTAGGTGTGTTCCTTCTTCAGACAGCCCTAAATTCAGGCCTCTTCTCCCATAGCCCATAGCCACTGATTCATTGTACTTCTTTACTGCAGTCCTTCCTTTTCAAGTTTTACTAAAAGGGGATTAAAAGGAGATATTTTCAAGTAGGCTTGAATCCTGTCTTTGCCAAACTGACATGTATCTGAGTCATTATTATGAACAAGCTGTCCAGAAATCCCTCCACCATGCTCTGTGTTTCTTTTCTGGGCCAACTTTGTTGTTTCTACAAGACAGCTGGGAACCATATTTTGACCTTACTGAAAGTCTTGATGATAATACAACTGATTCATCAGTTGCACATCAAAGGAAGATTGCTGCTTTGGCCTTAACTTCCTTGTCTGCCAAAGAGGGGCTGGGTATGTTTCTGTCCTTAGCAAGAAATCAATGTCAGACATCATGTTAACAGTACATTATCTGCTTCTTGTCCAGAAACACAACAATAACAACCTAAACCATTCTATGATTGTATGATTGTTGCCATTCCTGCGCTTCTGCCTTGCTTTATGATAAAAAGTCAAAAAAGCCCTGCAACCCCAAACTAGTAACCTGATGCCAGGACATTCTTTAAATGACATATTTTCATCTTTTCCCTCCCCCAAGGCTATCAGATGGCAGTCTCCCCCAACACAGAGTATTTCCCTGCAGACTGGCTGGGGGCTGAAGTTTCTGGAGCAACCCTGGGGATCGTGGGGATGGGAACCATTGGCTACAAAGTGGCCCAGAGAGCCAAAGCCTTTGAGATGAAGATTTTGTACCACAACAGGAATCAGAGGTAAAGCAGGTTGCATCTCCCATGGAAAGTATTTTATCACTGCTTTGAAGCGTTTTTTGTACCTTTCACTATCAAACTGATCTCCTGTTTTCTCTGTGCAAGATTAAGACAATGTGCTCTCTGTATTATTCTTACTAAATATTGTGCCAAGAAGCAGGAAGAGCCACAGATCATGGCCAGGTTCACACAAAAGTCCAAATCATCAGGCAAGCTCACAGGGCAGAGGCCAGACAGGGGCTGAGGAGAGCTGGACCAGCCCTGCTGAATCACTGGGACAGGAGCTAATAGCCCGAAGGGGACCTGCCATGGGGCCCTGGGATGTGGGGAAGCAGCGGGACAGGGACAGCCAGGACTAGTGGTGTCCTCTGAGCCATGACAAAAAGTCTCTGCTATATTACTGTCGCTTTATTTGGGGTGGCAAAGTACATATATACCTGCTGCAACATGGTAATTAATTTCCCAGCTTATACGGAAACAAAGTCAGGAAGGAATGGGAGAGATACATCTCACTGGTCTCCCTGAGCCTTCCTGTCATGTTGGTGACACTGTAATAGACTGAGGAAAGGAGAAGTAATCTGGGAGGATTTCGCTCCCAGATTTAACCTTTTTACATTTAACTTTTAACGTGGTTAAAAAGGATGTAACCATGCCAAGTGCAACGTCTTATACCTGGGCCGGAGCAATCCCAGGCACAGCTACAGGTTGGGCAGAGAAGAGATTCAGAGCAGCTCTGCGGAGAAGGACTTGGGGGTGTTGGTTGATGAGAAACTGAACATGAGCCGGCTTCAGTGTGTGCTTGCAGCCCAGAAAGCCAACCATATCCTGGGCTGCGTCAAAAGCAGCGTGACCAGCAGGTCGAAGGAGGTGATCCTGCCCCTCTACTCTGCTCTCGTGAGACCTCACCTGGAGTATTGCGTGCAGTTCTGGTGTCCTCAACATAAAAAGGACATGGAACTGTTGGAACAAGTCCAGAGAAGGGCCACGAGGATGATCAAGGGGCTGGAGCACCTCCCGTATGAAGACAGGCTGAGGAAGTTGGGGCTGTTCAGCATGGAGAAGAGAAGGCTGCGTGGAGACCTCATAGCAGCCTTCCAGTATCTGAAGGGGGCCTATAGGGATCCTGGGGAGGGACTCTTCGTTAGGGACTGTAGTGATAGGGCAAGGGGTAACAGGTTAAAACTTACACAGGGGAAGTTTAGATTGGAGATAAGGAGGAAGCTCTTTCCTGTTAGGGTGGTGAGGCACTGGAATGGGTTGCCCAAAGACGCTGTGAATGCTCCATCCCTGGCAGTGTTCAAGTCCAGTTTGGAGAGAGCCTTGGGCAACATGGTTTAGTGTGAGGTGTCCCTGCCCATGGCAGGGGGGTTGGAACTAGATGATCTTAAGGTCCTTTCCAACCCTAACTATTTTATGATTCTATGATTCTAACTCCTGTGACTTAGGTGAGGCTGGGACACAGGCAGAGACATTATCTCACCCTTTCAGAACCAGCTGACAGTGAAGAGCTGGATTTGCTAGCCTGTTTGCTTTCTTCTAGATGAGGTGTATGTGCCCTTCATAAGTGCTGTGAGTCCCATCAGGCCCTTGCCATCTTTTTATCTGTGGGAATCTAATGGGAGCTGGGCAGTACTTGCCACAACTTTGTCCTGATGGTTATGGAATGCACCAGCAGGTCCTGCAGCCTGTTATTTCAGTGAAGCAACACTGATGCACAGAGCAGGTTGACTGTTGCTGAAACAAATTTCAGAAGACTTAATCCTGGCCCTGTCTTGTGGCTTTCTTCAGTAATTTACAGATAAGTTACTTTACAAAGGCAAGGGAATTCACGTCAAATATCAGTCTTGCTTTTGGGCTGGAAAAGAAACCCCATCACATGCAGAAGCTGTGACACAAATGCATTTATTTATTGTTTATTCAGTGCATTCACATGATTCTTGCATGCATGATTCTTTATGTACGTGATTCTTTACACGCATTTCTTGCTTGCCCTTCCACAGGTAGAGCACTGCACAATTGTGTGTAGTGCACTTGGTATTGTGGGAAACAGTGTGACATACTGAGTTTCAGGCAGATAACAGTCTAACTGCTTTGCATTATGGAGTGAAGAAAATGATTAAGAAACCTTTTACCTAAAGATGATTTGAACTTTTTTCTTATTGCTTACTGCTGGACTTAATTTGGGGTTTTCCCTTTCAGAAACAAGGAAGAAGAAAGTGCCATTGGAGCTGTTTACTGTAAGAAGATAGATGATTTGCTCCAGCAGTCAGATTTTGTGTTGCTGTCTGTAGCCCTGACTCCACAGACACACAAAATGATTGGGAAGAGGGAGCTGGAGCTGATGAAACCCACAGCTACGCTGATAAACATCAGCAGAGGTAGGATGCACAATAAACAAAACTGCATTATGGTTTGCTGGCATAAAAAGTCCTGGGAAAACCCAGTCCTATTGAGTGTCTCTCACTCTGAAATTTTTGGTAAATTGTCTTGATTACTAGATTATTTAGATCTCCATGGACACATCTCAGCAAAACTTTTAAGCATTCTGTAATTTTGAGCAAGTAGGTCTCTAAAATGTTAGTGAGCTTGGAGTGTTAGAAGCCCATGTGTACTTGCATAATGTCCTGCTTAAGCTTGCTACTTATTTAGTGCAGTGCTGTTCCTACGTACATCACAGCCTGCTCTGAGGTCTGGCACTGTGCTTCATTTTATTGTACTTCATTTTACTGTGCCTTTTAAAATTCCTATCCAACTCCACTGCATGTACCCAAGCTTCTGCCTCCAACTTCACCACACTTCCTCTGCTGCCACTTTGTTTTGTGAACATTGCTGGCCCTGCTGTATGCGTGACCACTGTGCCCAAAAGGATGGTGAGAGAACGGTAGGAAATCTGAAAACAAGAGTATCATCTTTCTTACTGTAACCCAGGTCTGGTTGTGGATCAGGATGCTTTGGTGGAAGCCCTTCAGAAAAAAGTTATTAAGGCAGCCGCTTTGGATGTGACGTATCCTGAACCCTTGCCAAGGTAGGAGATGTATTTAGGTGAAGTATAAATGAGTGTATGTATGTGGTTTTGGTTCAAAGTAAGTACAAGTTTGTGAGCGTGTGAGAAGTTACACAATCTTGTTAGCAGGAGTACACAATGGACGTGCACTGGTCCTACCAAAACAATGTCCCCAGTCCTTCCGTCCTAGCCAAGCAAATTTCACACTGACTCATTTGGAGGATTTGTTGCATAAAAAACCCACAAGCAAGGCAGCAGTTTGAACTCCACTAAGTATGCTTTGGTCATGCAATTATTTTTTATTCTTCGTTATTATTTTAAATACTTCCCTGGCCCCCTCAAGGTGATGAAATAACAGATGAATGCTCTGTGCGTGACTGGCTGAGTACTTATTTTCCTTTTCCAGGAATCACCCCTTGTTAAAGCTGAAGAATATTATAATAACTCCTCACATTGGAAGCGCCACCAAAAAGACACGCCGCCTAATGATGGAAGACATGACAGAAAGCATACAAGCAGGTCTTACAGGTCTTCCTATCCCTAATGAAGTATTACTGTAAAGCGGCCTGCATTTAATGTGTCATTAGTGTTTGTCCTGGTGTGATGAAACAGTAATTTGATCACTCTTCATGCAATTATGCTTGGTGTGTATATACAGATCAAATATAATTGTTCTGGTTTCAGCTGGGGTAGAGTTAATTTCCTTCCTAGTAGCTGGTGCAGTGCTGTGTTCTAGCTTTAGTCTGAGAACAGTGCTGATAACACACCGATGTTTTAGTTGTTGCTCAGTAGCACGCACTTACTCTGATCACGACTTTTCAGTCTCTCACGCTCTGCCAGTGCAGAGGGGCACAAGAAGCTGGGAGGGAGCAGAGACAAGACACGTGACCCAAACTAACCAAAGGGGTATTCCATATCACAGCACGTCATTCCCAGTATATAAACTGGGGGGTGTCACCTGGAAGGGGCTGAAGACTGCTCAGGTTGGGCTGAATATCAATTGGCAGTTGGTGAGCAATTGCATTGTGCCTCACTGCTGTTTACTGGGTTTTTTTCTTTCCCCTTCTAGTTTTGTCTTTTCTCCCCTTGTTATTTTCCTTATCATTATTAGTAGTACTATTCTATTGTACTTTAGTTATTAAACTGTTCTTATCTCAACCTGCATGTGGGTTTCACATTCTTTCAGTTCTCCTCCCGATCCTGCCTGGACGGGGGGAAAGGGAGGTGGGGTGTGAGCGAGCGGCTGCATGGTAGTGAGATACCTGATGGTTTTAAACCATGACAATTATGAACGCAATTGAAATTGCCCATCAACATTACATCAAATTGAAGGATGGTTAAATCGCATTCTAGTGTCACCGATGAACTACATGGCACAGCAACCTGTGTCTCGCTGATGGCCCTGCTCTTTCCTGATGCTCCAGCAGCAATATTTACCTTTGGGGAGCAGTTTGCAAGGCTTTGCTGGGGCAGCCCTTAATGGAAACGCAGCAACCAGCCTTAGTTTCACTTCCCAGACGTCTCACCCACCCTAATAACAGAGCCTCTGCCCAACTGTACCTGCACGGGGCTTGGCTCTGTGTGTACATGAGGCTCCCCGCGCAGGCGGGGCCACCCGCAGCCACCGCCTCCCGCCTCCCGTCGCCGAGTCGCTGCCAGCCCTGACCGCCGCGCCGCGAGGGGGTGCAGGCACCGCCGGAGCCGCAGCCCCAGCCACGGGGATCTCTGCAGCGCCGGGTCAGGTCGGGCCTGGCCGGGCCGGGCCGCAGTGGCAGCATGTTGGGCGCTCTGGCGGCAGCTAGTGCGGGGGTGCCGCGGTGGTGCCGGGCGCTACACGGCTCCGCTGCCCTGGGCGGCTCCAGGAACCTACTGTGGAAAATGCTCCGGAAAAAGAAGTAGGTGCGGGAGGCGCTGGCTGGGCAGCGGGGCCTCCCGCCGGGCTGGGCCGGGCCTTGCTGTGGGGTGAGCGGCCGCAGCCGGCCGGGCTGCTGGGTCTTCCCTGCTTCCGCCAGTGCGGGCAGGCGGTGCTGCCGGTGTTGCTGCGGCCTGGCAAGCGAGCACAGGGCCGGAGGTACCGGTGCTCTAGATACTGGGAAGTTCTTCCCTGTGAGGGTGGTGAGGCCCTGTCACAGGTTGCCCCGAGAAGCTGTGGCTGCCCCATCCCTGGCAGTGTTCAAGGCCAGGTTGGACGGGGCTTGGAGCAACCTGGTCTAGTGGAAGGTGTCCCTGCCCATGGCAGGGGGTTGGAGCTGGATGAGCGTTAAGGTCGTTTCAACCCAAACCAGTCTGAGTCTTTTCTCCACCTCTGCATGCAGGTTCAGCCGCGGATGGGGAGCATTGCTCCCTGCACCCCACCCTAGTCTACCTGTTGTGGGGAAAACTACCTGTGGGCATGAAAACCTGTGTGTTGTGTTGTGCCTTCGGGTGGGTGGTAATTTAATTACACAGGGAACCCTTTGTTTTTCTGTGCTGCTGAAAGATAAAGCTGTTTTCCTTTCCTTTTCCCCAAAGAAAGAAGTTTTGGTATGACAGCCCTACCCTGGGATCTAAACTGGTAAGTGCAAGCTTCTAAGGTGCTGTGTTTGTCTGTGCCAGGAGGAACAAGCTTGTGCTTCTGCCATTGTGTCTGACTTTGAGAAAAGCATTTTCTGGTGGAAATAGCAAAATTCTGTAATGAACACTAGGGCTCCAGTTTCACTATGACATGCCAGGATAGCTGTTGAGAGAAGCCATTCAGCTCCCCATGGCTTTTTCCTCTTCCATGCTGATCTTTCATTCACACGAGATCCAGTGCTGTTTTAGAATCATAGAATCAGTTAGGTTTGAAAAGACCTTTAAGGCCATCAAGTCCAACCACTGACCTAGCTAGCACTGCGAAGTCCACTGCTAAACTGTGTCCCTAAGCACCCTGAACACCCTTGAGCCTACAGCAGAGAACTGATCCAGGTTAGAAATTCTGTATACCAGCTTAGTTTTACTTTTATGGAAACCAAGTTTTTATGTCTGTTTTTCAAACAGGTGCTGCTTTTCAAGTTAATGCATGCTCTATTTTAGAAAAAGGATTTATTGACCTGTGTAACTAGCTACAAAAAAAACCTAAAACTAAGCGGCCTTGACTGTAATACATGAAGGTCAAAGATTTTGTGAAAAGAAATATTCTTTATTGAAACGTGATATATAAGACCTATATAAGACCATCACAGCTGCAGTAATGGCATTCTAAGAGCATACTTAATAAAATGTAAAAAAATGTATGTTAAATGCTTAATACAAATACAAGTTTGCAACTACAGATTAATGTGTTGTGGTTTTGTTGTGTTTTAAAGATGTGTAAACCAAACACGTTGGCCTCCATAATGAAAGCTGACCAGATAAAAACTAGGAAAGAAGATAACATACGCTTCAGAGTCTTGAATGGTCTTATTCATAAAGCTGTGGCAGAGATGATGGCTACCTGTGAAGTTAATCAAGAACTTTATGATCTTAAGCTGGAAATCTGCAAGGCAAGTGCTAAAGCTTCAACTTGTTTTGAGCAGCTCTGACTACACCTTGGCATGGCGGGCCAAAGGAGCTCCTCTGGGTGTTGTGATGCTTGCAGGAGTTCTGCTGCATTGCTTTTGATGTGGCAGAGCACATCAAGATGAGGCTCTGGATTCATTTTGCAGACTAGGAGAACATTGCCATTGTTGCACCTGGCACAGCAGACCTTTGCCATTATAATTGCAAATGCAGCTAAGGCCAACTAAATAGTGATTCTCTTAGTATGACTTAGTTTTGTTACTCAGATATGTAGTATTTGCCTTACCCTTTCTGAAAGGGGAGCCTGGTTTTGCCAATAAAATTGTATCTTTCTCAGAGCCTTTTTTATGCAGCTGTGTGAGGGTTGATACCTCCTGGTGTTCCTCACTAGCATCACTATACAGGCAAAAGACCTAAGTGAGACATGAGCTGCCTTCAGAAAAAAATGCAAGGCTAATAAAATGGCATTGGCAAGCAAAGTTCAAGAAGGAGTTAGAATTTGTACCTAATTGTCAAATTCATGGTTTGAAAGGGACGTAAAAGTGTAAAAGTAAAATTCAGGAACTAAGTCATTTTCTGCATTCTTGTTTGTTGTAGGTTTGTTTGTTTGTTTTTTTTTCCCATTTGCAGTTTTATCTGTGTTTGGCTTAAAAGTTTGATGGACTTAGAGGCATGGAAAACCAAATTGCACCTCATAGCTGGTTTTGCCAGCTGAATTCATTCTGTCTTCAAGCATGTGATTAAAATTACCTGGGCAATGTGAATATTTTGGCTTTATATGTGCAGTGTCCTTCATATAGTACTTCTCTCTCTCCTGGGCTTTGAGGATTGCTTGTCTAACTTGGATGGCATGTCTGCACTTAAAAATACTGGCTGGTGAAGGCAAGCCGCAGCACTTTCATTGCTGTAAATGAAACAACTTATAACACAAGAGATGGAAAAAAACAGCCTTCTTTCAAATTTAGTGCAGATTTTATTGTAACTGTGTAGTGCTTGGGAAGAGTTTGTGCTGCACTGGGATGTGGCTGAGAATGGATTTATTGATTTATTCTAGAGCTTGATTTATTCTAGAGCTGATGCATGACATCCTTGTCTCTAAATTGGAGAGACATCAATTTGATGAATGGACCACTCGGTGGATAAAGAACTGGCTGGATGGCTGCCCGCAAGGAGTTGTGGTCAACAGCTCAGTGTCCAGTTGGAAAACAGTAACGAGTGGTGTCCCTCAGGGGTCGGTGTTGGGACCGGTGTTGTTCAACATCTTTGTTGCTGACATGGACAGTGGGATTGAGTGCGCCCTCAGCAAGTTTGCCGATGACACCAAGCTGTGTGGTTCAGTTGATACCCTGGAGGGAAGGAATGCCATCCAGAGGGACCTTGACACACTTGTGAGGTGGGCTGATGCCAACCTCATGAAGTTTAACCATGCCAAGTGCAAGGTCCTACACCTGGGTCAGGGCAGTCCCAGGCACAGCTACAGGTTGGGCAGAGAAGAGATTCAGAGCAGCCCTGCGGAGAAGGACTTGGGAGTGTTGGTTGATGAGAAACCAAACATGAGCCGGCTTGAGTGTGCGCTCACAGCCCAGAAAGCCAACCGTATCCTGGGCTGCATCAAAAGGAGCGTGACCAGCAGGTCGAAGGAGGTGATCCTGCCCCTTTACTCTGCTCTTGTGAGACCTCACCTGGAGTATTGTGTGCAGTTCTGGTGTCCTCAACATAAAAAGGACATGGAATTGTTGGAACAAGTCCAAAGGAGGGCCACGAGGATGATCGTGAGTATGAAGACAGGCTGAGGAAGTTGGGGCTGTTCAGCCTGGAGAAGAGGAGCCTGCTTGGAGACCTCATAGCAGCCTTCCAGTATCTGAAAGTAGCCTATAGGGATGCTGGGGAGGGACTCTTTGTTAGGGACTGTAGTGGCAGGACAAGGGGTAACAGTTTCAAATTGAAACAGGGGAAGTTTAGGCTAGATATAAGGAAGAAGTTCTGAAATTCTTTACTGTTAGGGTGGTGAGGCACTGGAATAGGTTGCCCAAGGAAGTTGTGAATGCTCCATCCCTGGTAGTGCTCAAGTCCAGGTTGGACAGAGCCTTGGGTAACATGGTTTAGTGTGAGGTGTCCCTGCCAATGGCATGGGGGGGTGGAACTAGATGATCTTAAGGTTCTTTCCAATCCTAACTATTCTATGATTCTGTGATTCTGGTCTGATACCATTACTTCCATTATCAAAAGAAATAGAATCTTAGAGTCATAGAATAGAAGGTACCTTAAGATCATCTAGTTTCAGTCCTCTGCTATGGGCAGGGACACCTCACACTAAACCATGTCATCCAAGGCTCTGTCCAGCCTGGCTTTGAACACTCACAGGGATGGATCATTTACCACTTCCCTGGGCAACCCATTCCAGTGCCTCACCACCCTCACAGTAAAGAACTTCTTCCTTGTATCACAGTATCACAGTATGCTAGAGATTGGAAGGGACCTCAAAAGATCATCTAGTCCAATCCCCCTGCCAGAGCAGGAACACCTAGATAATGTTACACAGGAATGTGTCCAGGCGGTTTTGAATGTCTCCAGGGAAGGAGACTCCACAACCTCCCTGGGCAGCCTGTTCCAGTGTTCTGTCACCCTCACTGAGAAGA